TATATACATATATATATATATATATATATATATATATAAGCAAAGAAAAAACTTAATATTTCCTTTGAACAGGACAAACAATGCCGCATCGAGCTTTCGCGCTTAACCACTGCTTAAAGAAACGAAAACTTTAGATTTTCCGCAGAAAATAAAAAGTTCCAAAGAGATGTTATGGAACTTGGATTTATCAAGGAAGAAAAAAGAATGGAGAACGAGAGATGAAGAAAATCAGAGCTTCAAAATAGAATTTTCAAGACCTCAAAGAAAAAAAATCCTATTTTTTAGTTTATCAGTAATACTTAATTCTCTTTAATTCAAATATTAACAACTAATAACAGAAAGAAGAAACTTACACTTGTGTCAGCATATGAAACAGGTAAAAGAAGCATTTCTAACGTGTCAAGATTCCCCAGCTTTTCACCGGGCGATTGAACCATACATTCAAGAAACGATTCGTTCAGTTCGCAAAAAATCCGAGTGTAACCGTGAATTCTACAAACATGCCAAGTAAGTAATGTAGTAGTAAACAGCACCTACTCGCTCAGTATATCCTAATAAATAAATAAGTCATGAAAGCCCAATATACCTGAACCGGTGCTGCGTACAGCTTTAAAGTCTCTCATAAATAAGCAGCAACAATGCAGTAAGCAAAATATACTCAAGCGCCCCAGCATTCTACAAGAATAGTTTAAACACCAAACGTACTTGTCACTATCGTCCTTAGAAACAACTTCTTTAAATGCGGCTGCCATAGCATAGCAAGCGCTTAAGGTCGCCACAGCAAGTGCGTGTTGCGTCTCAACATCTTCAACACGATAGAGGACTGATACGACACATTCGCATGCAGCATCAAAAAGCTCTGTTTCAGAATCAGGGGTTTGCTAAAAATCAAAAACAAAAAACAAGTCCAAATATAGTAGTGCCATCCAACTTAAAGAAAGAAGAGCTTTTTGCGTTATAGCTTGATGTCCAACAAATCATTGAAAAAATGTCAAACTTCGACAAAAACTTGCCAAGACCAAAAAAATAGAATTAAACAGAGGACTAGACGCTAATTCATCTGTTGGTACCAACGGATTATACAACCAAGAAGAAAGGCAGTAAAGTGCTTGAGAGACCAACGTAACATCTGACGGATTAGAAGAGCATATGTGACTCTGAACAAATAACTCAATGTCTGTAAAGTATGGAAAAACAGACAAAAGATAAGCAATCGGCTGTCAAGTGCAAGATCCGTCAGCCAAGTAAAAAATACCAGAAATTGCAGAACTGCTGATGTTTGTTGCGCCAGCTCAGTATTAACTACTCGCCTCCTATTATCACCAACTCTGAGATGGGGACTCTGAACTTCTTCAGAGAATATTTTCAATAAGTTGAGAAGTAAAAACGCATCGCTGTTTGGAAGTTTAGAAAACCTAAAAAGCATTTGGTTCCAGTTTCAACTCGCGTAGTAAATTTTCAGACAGACAACTTCAACCACAAACCTGTCAAAAATTTTTGCAATAAAATCAGTCCATTCTGGAACTTGCATGTACAAGTCGACTAGGGCCAGACATAGCTGTGTCAAAATAGCAGTTGGTTTTTCATGATTACCACAACCGTAACTGCTAAAACATCAAGTTACGATGTCAATATTCCAGCAAAGATGCCGAGATGTTCAGAAAAAAAGAAACGAATATCTAAATGAAAAATAACCTGATATGATTAAGCAGGGACTCCTGTAAGCTTAAATAACTATCCGGAGGCAATTCTCTAATATGGTGCAGCAATTTCTGCCGCATAGTTTGTGCAGCAAATAAACAAGCATTGTATTCTTTCTTTTCGGCCAGGATTCGATCGCAGACTGTCCATGCGCAAACCTGATGAGCACTATCACAATAAAGGCTTAATCTTCTTCAAGAAGGAAATTGCGAGAAATCGGGAGTCTCAACTAGCCCTCTTTTCCCCTGCCATTTGTAAACTTTCCTGCACAGTCAACAAAAGACTATGACACCAACAAGTATACAAAAACAAATATTTGCATATAAGGAGCAGGAACTTTCTTTACTGGCTCTGCCTCGTTTACAAATTGGTTTTTAGACTCACTGAGATCGAAATTAAACTTCTGAGTTTAATATTAATTTGTACATAAAAACCTACAGATACAAATTTCTTATGAAACAATTGAAGTTTTGAGCCGGTACTTATTACGTTGATTTGCAGAATCTAAGATTTCTTATTCTGTGATATTCCAGTCTCTTAGTGGGGTAATTGAAAACAAAATTAAGTAGAAATGATGTTGTCCCTCTTGCCTTTGAATATTCCTATACTCAATGCAGTGCTTTAAGTTTGTCTTGGTGTTTATTCTTATTTTTTACACGTCT